ATTGTGCGGGAGGAGGACGGATCGTTTGTGGCAGCGGTTAACGGTCCTATGACATGCCCCTATAATCCACTTATGGCGGAGGCGATGGCAATGTGTGAAGCTCTCTCATGGCTCAAGGATAATGGCTACTCATCGGTCAGAGTTTACACGGATAGTTTTGTTTTAGTTTCAAGTCTTAGTCATACTAGTTCTTTCCGGTCTTATGTTGGTTTTATATTAGATTCATGTTTACAGTTTCTAGCAACTATGCCTGGTTCTCATATTCGTTATGTTAGTAGAATTGCGAATCAGGCGGCTCACACCTTAGCAAAGCATGTAAGTGCAGCTTCTGCACGCTCTACTTGGAGGGATGAACCTCCTGTCCTTTGTTCTGCCTGTTATGGCTAATGCAATCTAGTTCTTTTGGCTTTCAAAAAAAGAAATTAATTTAGAAAAAATTGAAATTAATCTAACTAAAAAAATATTTATAAATATGATATCAATATAAAAGATGTGTAATTTATTATGTATTTTTTAATCAAACTATTTTATCTAATTAATTATGTTTCATATTTTATTATGAATATCTTTTGTCACTGATTGTTTTGATTTATTACTCTCAATAATTAAGATTTTATGCTATGTTCTTATTTGTAAGTTTTGTTTTATAAATTTTTATTAATAATTACTTTATTATTTATTATAAAATAATTTTATTGTTTATAAGTTCATTTGGTTCTAAATTATTTATTCATTTTTATAAATTATAATTCTTTATTTATGAAAGAACTGATGCATCTATTGATTACTTTGGATTTATAATGCATCTATAATTATTTTTATGTGTATGTAAAATTATTAAAAACTTGAGAATCTTATTTCAAGTTAAATTTTAGCTATAATATAGGACCCATTTTTACGTAATTTAATATAGGATCCATTTTTGTTGCTATGCCGTGCCCTAGGCCCATAAAATGATAGGACCTAGCCTGCATATAAGGGCCATTTTTTAAATTTCGTCTCGGGCCTATAAAATGTTTGGACCGACACTGATTAGACAATTTTGGTTTATTTGACCACTATTAATTGTTTGACTTGGTTAAATAGTGAATAAGAGTGTTTGATTAATTAGTTTTATGTAACAACTAATTGCTCCAAAACACTAAAATTAAAAAAAACTACTCAAAACAGTTTTTTTTTATCAACTTTTTGAGAAAGTCATTTTGTATGTAATCAGCTATCAACCAACCGTTAATCACCAAATATCTTTCTACAATCAGCTACCGCTATCAATTAGTCAAATTCACTAACCCAATTAGGTAACAATTATTTACCAAACACCCCAATATTTGTCGCATGCCTTACAACAGTGATCCAATTTAGTTTTCAGTCGCAATTATAAGAACTAGTGGAACACATGTTTGTTGCATGTCAGGACATTTGACTGCTCATCAATTTGTTATCTTTAGTTTGAGACCTGTACGAGAATGACATGCATATGTTTTAGCCGTTCGAAATTTACCATACTTAATAATGCAACCCATCCATCTTCCTTAAAAGGAACTCATTTACTTCAACCAGAATGGCATTGATTCTGGGCAAAATATATTAATAAATTGATTCACTAACTTAAGGCCGGCACATTAACGGCAAATTATGCTGTCCACAGGCCATTGTGGACACGAGTCCAAAATGACGTCGTTTTCAGGCATTCAAGTTTTTAAAAAAATGATTTTGTCTCGCCGTTAACGGCGTTATTCATTTGTAGAATTATGAATGTACAGTTATAGAATTATGAATGTACAGTTATAGAATTATGGAATTATGAACACAGAGCTTTGACATTATGAACTTACAATTATGAACATATAGTAATAAAATTATGAACATAGAGCTCTAAAATTGTGAACATAGAGCTTCAAAAATTATGAATTTACAGTTATTGAATTATGAATGTACAGTTACGGAATTATGAATGTACAGTTATGGAAGTATGAATGTATAGTTATGGAATTATGAACATATAATGACAAAATTATGAACATATAGTGATAAAATTATGAACATATGCTCCTATAACGAAGCGGTCTGAAATTTTAAAAAAAATGGTGGAAGATAACTGTGCCACTAAAGGCACCGTTACCGTGTCCACAATGCATGCTGGACACGGGTCCATAGCATAACGATTGCACAGTAACGCTCTTAGCTTATTGTGGAGAAGGGTGGAGCAAATAAATTGTGGATTGGGTTGATTCAGACCATACACAATAAAGTTATTAGTAAAACAATGTTTATGTCAAGTACCTTGTGCTTAGATGGCACTTCTGTGACTCCCCTTGAATGAAGGTCACAAGATTAAATCCTGGTAGTGAGGTATTGAAATATAGTCAATTGCTTGCAACCTCCATAATTATACGGGCCTGAGATTTTGTCTTATTAACGAACTTCAATTCACTCAAAAGTCAAAACACATCTTTAAATAAGAGTTGGAGGATTTTAAGATGAAATGGAAGTATATATGGAAGTACAAATAACATTAGTGTGTATGGGCATTGAAGCCACCATACTGCACTATCACAATTGATCTCCATTTCTCAAAAGCTCATCAGTACTTGCCAGTAGTCTTTAAAATAATGAAAAGTTTGCATTGTGCCATATTGCAAGTCCATCCCATAAAGGGATAGGCTTGCTCTAAACTATGTATGGGAGGAGTCATAGAGCTTATAAGTTCACAGGCTCACAGCAAAGTTAGCATCCAAATGGGGAAGCAATAGAAATAGATCAATACAATAATGCAAGCAAATAATTGAAATAGATGCAAAAGACCCTCTACCAAACAAAACCAATCTTCATCATATATATCATGAATCCTCACAATTCAACCTTGATGAAGTACAAAGAGGTCGGGGAAAAAACAAATAAGAAAATTATAAGTATTTAGATGATTTTGAATCAATAAAATCATCCGATCATGAGAAAATTCAATATGACTGGGGTGGCCGGTAGGCAATTTACGGATAAGATTTTAACCGGATTAATTAAAAAAGAGATTATTATGTATTCATTCGATCGGTAACTAGAATACCATTGAATTGTTTTACTTTTATCTGATTATGAGATACTAATTGATCAAATGAATAAAAATTTACAATTGCTCAACGACTAACGAACGTCTCTTATTTCTGTTCAAAAATGTTTGGATAGTTCATAGATTTTGGTTAATCGGTCAAATGAATGAAAAATCACAATTAAAAGTGATGTTTCAAAAGGACACATCCAATAGATTCCTGATTTGAATTAGGTGATTCTCTCTTGAATTGATTCTTCTATGAGACTTGATATTCTGCACTATTGAATGCATCAATTAGAGAATAATCCGATAATGACAAAATGCTCAACAACTGACATCCCTTACTTCAATTCTATTAAGAAAAAAACGAAGTATGAATAGGTCCCGTAAGGAGTAATCAAATGGGTGGAACATGATTATTAATTTATTATACATAAATATTACGGATTTAATTCTTGTCAAACACCTTCTTGGTTGAGTCAATTGTATATAATCTTCATAGCGTGCTTCATGTTTTACATGCTATTACACAAAATCAACAAGATTAAAGAAAGAATTAAGGGATTTTGCATGCACGAGTTTAATTCATGAATTCAGTAGATAGTATTTGAGGTAAGAGACCAATGTTCAATTTGATAGCGACTGTACGAAATTTTCATAGAGTTAGAGATTCAACGTTTGGAGCAAGAATTAAGGATCTTCTTAATGATATTTTGCACTATTCATTGGGTCCATTTGAAAACAATTGGACAATAACAAAATAAGCAATGATTAAAGTAACGGCACCCCTTATATCTATTCAACCAAAATCAAAATCATCACGAGTGAGTCTGGATTGTTTGAGTAATTTATAATTTTTTTACCTGAAAATCATAAGTTTAATTTTTTTTAATGGTCAAAATACGTATGAAGTCCCTGTAATATAGTGTTTTGTTCAATTTAATCATTGTACCTTTATTCTGTTCAATTTAGTCATTCTACTTTAAAAAATGGTGAAACTAAGGACAATTGTCCTAATCTTATTAATTAGGAACATGATTATAATTATTATTTTGAACATATTAATTTAATATATTGGTGGAAAAAATAATTAATTTTAAATATTTATAAACTAATATATGAGTAGGAATATAAATATCGTCAACGCCACATAACCTAAGTTAACAATAATATTAACACTCTAAACTATTGTCCTTAATTGCACCACTTTTGAAAGTACATGGAGTAAATTGAACAAAATAAAAGTGCAATGACTAAATTAAAGAAAACGCTATAGTACACGAATTTCGTAGGCACTTTGACTCTTTTTAATATATTTTTGCTTAAATTTGTCTCACAATGTCATTTATTACGCCAAAAAAAAAATGAAATTTACCTGGTGTTATGACTACTGTTTCTCACCATCCATAACTATTTATTATCATTATGTATTTATATTAAGACTAGTATTAGGACTTTTTTATATTTGAGTCATAATATGATTCCTTGTTCTAGTCTTCCTATAATACATCTTGTATATATTCCCCTAGTTTGTATAGTTGTAATCACAGTTCATCTAATACAGTTTATACAGTTCTCATATGGTATAGTTAAGCTAGGGTTTTTGTTTTTATCACATGGTTGAAGGATCTGTTAATTCCTCCGAACGGACCATGTTTGATACCACTATCACGTCTTCTGCTAGCATGGCTGTCAACTCGCTTTCTACTGCTCATCACTTTATCAGTATTAAGCTCACCTATAAGAATTATCTGTTTTGGAGGACTCAAGTCGTGCCGTTTCTGGACGGACACGGTCTCATGCCGTTCATCGATGGGAGCCAGCCGTGTCCGGCTCCCATCCTGCCCGCTGTGACATTGCCCTACCCGAGTCCAACCCCGCCTACACGGCGTGGTTTCGTCATGAATGGGCTCTTATGTCTATGTTGATTTCTTCTCTCTCTGAGGAAGTCATGTACCTTGCCGTTGGCCGTCGTACGTCACCGGAGGTTTGGGAGTCAATCGAACAGTCTTTGGCTTACGCATCTCGTGCCCGGTCACTAAATCTCATTGGCCAACTTCAGTCTCTTAGTCAAAGAGATTCCACGGTTGCCGATTATATTGGTCGTGCACGTGTTATTATGGAGGACCTATCCCTAGTCAGTCGGTCGGTTGGATTGGACGAGATGAATCTTTATGTGTTTCGGAGTTTACGGTCAGAGTTTCAAAATCTGACCGCGTCGCTTTCGGTCCACGGACAGCCCGTTACCCTTGGAGAGCTAGCCGATTTTCTCGGTGCTCAAGAATTCATAAGAGGATCCGTCACTGGCAGTTCGCTGCCCAGCGTGGCGGACAAACTTGCTGAGGTGGTCACGGTGGTCAAGCTCAAGGCGGTGGCCGGTTGCATGGTGCCCGAGGTGGTGGTCAATGTGGCCGTGACGGCAACGGTGGCAACGGCCGTCCAACTACATGTCAAATTTGTGGCCGCACCGGTCACTCAGCTTTGGCGTGTTATAATCGTTATGATCCTCCTCCACAAGTAAATTTGACATATCAGAATACTAGTTCAGATATCAATGGCTCTCAGGTATGAATTCCTTATATTGAGGCAACTAATCATGTCACTCCAAATATTGCAGCCCTATCTACATTTGAAGAGTACACGGGTAATGATACATTGCGTGTTGGTGATGGTAAGGTACTTTCTATTAGTCATGTTGGTCATGCTTCCTTTAATACCCCATCCCGTTCTTTCCATTTGTCCAATATCCTTCATGTTCCTAGTTTGTCTACATCTTTGTTAAATGTTCAAAAGTTTATTTCGGATAATAAAGTGTTCTTTGAGTTTCACCCATCTTTTTTTGTTGTGAAGGATACCAACACCAAGGAAGTTCTTCTTCAGGACAATAGCTCCGGGGGTCTATATAGGCTTCCAATCGCCAATTCGTCTCCCTCCGCGTTTCTTTCCGCTCGTATGTCTCCGTCAATGTGGCATGATCGTTTAGGACATCCACATCATCGTGTTTTACTTCGTATTCTTCAGTCATGTTCGGTTAGTGTGTCGAGTAATTCTATTCGTTGTAATTATAATTTGTGTAATGCGTGTCAATTGGGCAAATCTGCCCAATTCCCATTGTCATGTGTTGGAGTCATCCAGTTCTAGTGTTCTTGACTTAATATATACATATATTTGGGGTCCAGCTCCTTTATTGTCCATTGATGGTTATCGCTATTTTGTCATTTTTGTGGATGATTATACCCGCTACACATGGTATTTTCCATAAAATAAAAATCTGATCTGTATGTCACCTTTGATAAATTTCGTACAATGGTTGAACGTTTCGTCAACAGAAAAATTAAATCCATTCAATCTGATTTAGGAGCTGAATACAAAAAATTGCATCATTCCTTTGTTCAATTATGAATTATTCATAGACAATCATGTGCCTACACTCATGAACAAAACGGTCGTGTCGAACGAAAACATAGACACATAGTTGAAACGAGTTTAGCTCTCCTAGCCTGTGCCTCTGTTCCATATAAATTCTGGGAATTTGCTTTTGAAACTGCTGTTTATTTAATCAACAAAATGTCATCCGTTGTGTTAAATAACTCCAGTCCTCATTTAAAATTGCATAACTCTCATCCTTCCTATTCTTTTCTTCGTGTCTTTGGGTGTCTATGTTATCCGTATCTCAGACCATACAATCATCACAAAATGTCATATCGGTCCTCTCCATGTGTCTTCCTAAGTTATCCTGAGTCGTTTTGGGGGTATTGGTGCATGGACTTACAGACTAACAAGATTTATGTGTGCAGACATGTAAGGTTTGATGAGACAGTATATCCCTTTGCTACTAAAAATACCTTGCAGGCTTCTCAACCGGTAATGACTTCTCTGTGGGTTGAATCAGTTTTTTGTCCTATGACTAGGGATGACAATGGGTTGGGTGTGGGTCGGGGATGGCTACATCCATCACCCGACCCACCTTATATTTTCTCCACCTACTCCCACCTCCAACCCGCATTACGTGGACTTTTTCAAAGCCCACCCCACCCACACCGAGTGCGGGTGCCCACTACGGGTACCCACCACTTATCATCTTATTATTTTTTTTAAAAACTAATATTTAAATTACTTACATATAATAAAATAATAAAATTCACCAGTGATAATAAAACATAAAATAATAGAAATATTTAAATATAATAACTAAGTTGTTAATTTTTAAAAATAAACTAAGTGGTTTTTCCAAAAAAAAAAAAAAAAAAAAACAAAACAAAACAAAAAAACTTAGTAGTTAAATATAAAAATAGTAAAAAGATACACGAAGTTATATAAACTTTAATAAAGAACTACATACTAGTACTTATTTTACTATTATATATATACACACATACACATGGTGGGTCGGGTGGGGGTCTAGGCGGGTTTTGTACATAGAACCTGAATCCAACCCGACCCACCGCGGGTTTACTTTTTAAAGACCCACCACCCACCATCACCCAAAAAAACTCGATCCATGCGGGGTGGATTCGAGTAGATATCCGCGGAGCGGATTGAAATTGCCATCCCTACCTACGACTACTGTCGTTGCTCTGCCTGCGCAGTCTCACGGCGCCACTGATGTCGCTCCCAGTAGCGACACTGCCGCATCGCCTTCGCCGCTACACACCGCCAACGAGCCAGCCAACCTGCTCGAGCACGAGCCGCATGAACCGTCTGCCCAGCCGGCTAAACGACCTTGTGGCCAACCTCGAGACAAATCCGTGAAGTCCACAGTTCGGACTCACGAGATGAGCACTCGGAGTCGGTTTCAGGCTCCACCATCAGCTTTGACGGTTCAGGTTTGTCCTTCGGATTCCACTTGTTACACTCAGGCAGTTAAGTATCCAGAGTGTCGTGAAGCTATGGATCAAGAATTTAATGCTCTTCTTCATAATCAAACATGGCATCTTGTACCATCACAGGCATGTATGAATAGTATTGGGTGTAAGTGGGTCTTTCATACAAAACGAAAGGCTGATGGCTCCATTGAGAGACATAAAGCACAACTTGTAGCAAAGGGGTTTAATCAGGTGCCTGGACAAGATTCTTTGATACTTTCAGTCCAGTGGTCATGCCTACTACTATCAGGTTACTTCTTTCTCTGGCTTTATCATTTGGGTGATTGTTAGGCAACTTGATGTTCATAATGCTTTTTTAAATAGAAATCTATCTGAAATTGTGTACATGAAGCAATCACCTGGTTATATTGATGCTCAGTATCCAAATCATATTTGCTTAATGAAAAGGTATCTCTATAGGTTAAAGTAGGCACTTAGGGCTTGGTTTAATCGTTTGCACAATTTCTTACTATCCGTTGGTTTTGAGGCATAAAAAACGAATGTATCCTTGTTTTACTACTCACAAGGATCTGATTGTGTATATCTGTTAGTTTATGTGGATGATATACTTATGATGGGGAGTGATCAGGATCTAGTTACTCAGCTAGCGTCAAAACTTTCCACTGCATTTAAAATTAGAGATCTTGGTGAACCTGGATTCTTTCTTGGAATTGAGACAGTTAAATGCAATGATGGAATTTTGCTTTCACAAAAGAGATACATGAATGACATTCTAAAATGTGCTGGATTGGCAGAATGTAAAGAACTATCTACTCCTATTTCTACCTCGAAACCCGTGATCATTGATACAGGCTTGTATGATGACCCTACACAGCACAAGAGTTTGGCTAGTGCAGTACAGTATTTAACTATCACTCGTCCTGATCTTTCCTTTGTAGTCAATCAGTTGTGTCAACACATGCATGCTCTTACAGTTTCTCACTGGGAACAATTAAAACGAGTTTTGAGGTACGTTAAAGGAATTATTTCTTTTAGTTTACGAGTCAGAAAGTCATCTTCAAGGGAAATTCATGCCTTCTCTGATTCTAACTGTGCTGGATGTCCGGAGGACTGAAAATCTACAAGTGATTTTGCGGTGTTTCTTGGCTCTAATCTTGTGTCCTGGGTCTGCAAGAAACAAAGAACTGTTGCTAGATCTTCTACTGAGGTTGAATATAAGGCTCAAGCAGATGTCTGTGCTGAGGTAACCTGAATTATGTCACTCCTGCGAGAAATCAAGATTTCAGGTATCTCTGTCCCTAAATTATGGTGTGACAATCTTGGGGCTACATATATGTGTGCTAATCCAATCTTTCATGCTCGCACCAATCACGTAGAGATAGACTATCATTTTATACGAGATAAAGTTGCTGCTGGAGATATTCAAGTTAATTTTATCTCAACAAAAAATCAACGTGCAAACATATTTACTATGCCTAGTCCTAGGTTTTTTTTTTCTTAGAGACAAGCTACAGGTTACTATATACCATGTGCTTGAGGGGAGTATTAGGACTCTTTTGTATTTGAGTCATAGTATGACTCCCTGTCCTAGTTTTCATATAATTCCTCTTGTATATATTCTCCTAGTCTGTACAGTTGTAATCACAGTTCATCTAATACAATTTATACAGTTCTCATCGTTTATATATATATATATATATATATATATATATATATATATATATATATATATATATATATATATATATATATATATATATATACCCTTAGGTCATTTTATATGTTAATCTAAACAGTTAATTTTTTCAAATATGTTTTTACCAACCGTTGATATAATTCGTTGGTCAAATTCGCTAATATGATTGACAACAAATCCCTCAAGTAGTTAATTTGATTGACTTTATTAATTATATTTTTTGTAATTTTTTCATGTTACTAATAAAATACTTGGTAAATAAATATATAACATTATTTTGTATTATAACTTTGATATTTAATTAAAAATAGTGCACAAAAAAGATAATAGACAATGTAGCGAATATATAATCAATTGATGAATTTGAATGTAAAGAATTTTTACATTGGATAAATATAAAGACAATATAACTTATAAAATTATTTCTCTTAATTAATTTATTGATACTGAATAATTTTTTTTTTAATAAAGACATTGTAGGGACAATGTAGCGAATATAATCAATCGATGAATTTGAATGTAAAAAATTTTATATTGGAGAAAAATAAATACAATATAACTAATGAAATTATTTCTCTTATTTAATTTATCGATAATGAATAAATTTTTTTGAATAAAGACATTGTAGACACATAATTCTAAATTAAAGAAATACATATGTATTATTTTTTGTTGTAGTTACTAAATTATTATTTAATTTAATATGAGTAAAATAGAGTACTAATTATGCCAACTTTGATTGGGATGAGGTTCGAACCTAAGCCCTTTCTTATTGAAATCAATGAGTAAGTTAACGGTGAACTAACATAAATTAACGGAAAAGATAATATTTAACGGAAAAGTTAATGGATAATCATATTCATTAAGGATAAATTAGGAAATCTTAAAAGGAAAAATTAAAATCTGATCAATTTAAGCCATTCATTTGATTAAAAAATTTGACCGCCATTTTTTCTACCCATTATAGGTCTAACTCTCTTGGGCCCTTATTAGTATATATATATATATATATATATATATATATATATATATATATATATATATATATATATATATATATAGGGATGCATATATATATAGGGATGCATTCAGGTGCGAATAAGTGCTCAGGAGTGAAATGCGAACGAATCAGCGCGTGACACGTGTCCAGATCTAATAACTTAAAAAAAAACGCGGTGGCATTTTCGTAAATAATTGAACATCGAAGTGCAAGTAAAATCGCTTACAAGTGCACCTACTTTCACCTATAAGTGCATGTAGTTTTGCCTTGTTAGCATTCACTTTCCGCAAACATTCATGCACCTGGGTGTGCTTATAACTATATGTGCAACTATTTATAACTATAGGTGCAACTACTTATAACTATAGGTGCACCTACTTTCACCTATAAGTGCATGTAATTTTGCCTTGTTAGCATTCACTTTCCGCAAACATTCATGCACCTGGGTGTGCTTATAACTATATGTGCAACTATTTATAACTATAGGTGCAACTACTTATAACTATAGGTGCACCTACTTTCACCTATAAGTGCATGTAATTTTGCCTTAGCATTCACTTTCCGCAAACATTGATGCACCTGGGCGTGCTTATAACTATGTGTGCAACTATTTATAACTATCGGTGCAACTACTTATAACTATAGGTGCACCTACTTTCACCTATAAGTGCATGTAATTTTGCCTTGTTAACATTCATTGATCTGAGTTCAGCGGGTAGTAATACCCCTGAAAATCACTCGCAAACATTCATACACCTAGGTGCAACTACTTATAACTATTTGTGCAACTACTTAGAACTATAGGTGCAACTACTTATAACTATAGGCGCAACTAAGTATTGATGCTCAGTGTAAATTTTTACTTGCACCGATAATACATTTTACATGCACTTGTAATACATTTTACTTGCACTTCGATGTTCAATTATTTACGAAAATGCCACCGCATTTTTTTAAAAAATCAGTGTTTCTCATCCATTAGATCTGGGCACGTGGACGGACAGAATCCATTCCTATTTCGCGCCTGGGCGAAACATTCGCACCTGAGTGCCATTCTATATATATATATATAGTGTATTGCGTGGGATGCAAGGCAAGAAGAATGGGATGGAATTAAGTAAAGGAAGAAGGTAGTTAACTTATTAACACTTCACTGCAGCTTGAATTGGATGTATTATATTCCAAAAACAAGAAGCATCATATATATCATCTTCCCCGTACTGATGAATAATGTAAGAAGTTTCCCGTCCGGCCTCAATAATAATAATAATAATAATCACACCATATCGATCATCATCCACTCGATCCCATCCATCCCGCAACTAACAGTACATCCTCGGCCGTCCACAAACACATACATTCAGTCGATCACCAACCAAACCTCATTATACAAGTTGTGTAGTGTTGTCATTATAAATTAGATCCATTTTCGATCAGTTAAGAATATAATGGAGGCCTCAGCTCGCTCGCTGTAGTGTTAGTTTGTACTTCTCCCACTGTACTGTGGTGAAGAAGCTAAGTTTTGGACAAATTGAAACTGGAAACTTCAGTCCTTGGCAGCTAACCCATAGCCCAAGCTCATCATCAATAATCAATTACTTCTCCGATAAGCCACCCCATCCATCTCACTATCTCAGCTCTTTCATTTCCGCCGCGGAATCATATCGCCACATCTCTACGTTCCTCAATATTATATATGTTTTTTTTTTTAGAGAAATCCTATATATATTCCCAATCTGGTTCATATGATATACTAGATTATTATGCATGTGAGGATTATGACCCTGATTGGTAAAATGTTAGTCTATAAGTCAATTTTGAAACCCAAAAAATTACTTAGCTTTTTTAATTAACTTTAAAAAAAAAAAGAAATTATACTAAATAGAACATCTAATTTACCAAACACCTTCTTACAATAAGCTAATATTATCAACTAATTATACCCTCTAATTAACCTAATCAACTAACAACTAACATCCATTTACTAAAGAGGACCATAGGAATATTACACTTTAACTACTCATGATTTTATTGCCTAGCTCGACTCTACTCAATTTCGATTTGATTTGATGATAGCATTAATGGATAATAATAATAATGCAGCCAAGAAGTATATATATTAATTGCTTGGGTAATTACTACACTTAATTTAGGCATGTAAGTTGTATCAATTACTTTTATATATATATATGCGCTCATATGTGGTCATCATTTGCCATATAGTCGTGTGGTCTAATCTGCATCATTCAATCATTTATATTCAAAAGCGCGGGACAATCTCAATGCACCATGTATCATAATTTCTATACTGTAGATTCATAATTTTTATACTGTAGATTCATAATTTCTATACTGTAGATTCATAATTTCTATACTGTAGATTCATAATTTCTATACTTTAGATTCATAATTTTTGTACTGTAGATTCATAATATCTGTAACAACAAATGAAAAACAAAATTATGAATCTACGTTTTCAAAAAAAAATTAAAAAAGTATAAATCTACAGTATAGAAATTATGGATCTACTCCTGTGTTCACCATGTGCATAGTGAACACGTTTCTACAGTATAATTTACCTATTTACCAAACACCCATTTACCTTTATAAATTATATATTGCACTCCATTTAACATATGAGGGAGTACATAAAAAGTGAAATGAGAATAGGAATAGTATAATAAAACTTGACCAATTTTGTTTTCATTTTCGGTCAATCAATGAAAATCACGTGACAAAAGTATACATTTTATATTTAAGAGTCTCATCAAATATTAACGTCATATTAATTTAGTTAAGTTGGTTTAACCAATCACCTTAAAGTCTTATTTGAGTGTTTTTAAAAAACCTAATAAGCTAATGTATCAAAAAATCATATTAATTAATGACAATATACTATATTAACATTTAGTAGAAATTTTAATCAAATTAAACTTTTTATCTATAGATATGAAGCATGTATAAGATGTGTCTTCACGAATAGTTCAATTGGTTACAAGGTGAAAGATTACACGTAAGTCACGTAACCAATGACGCATAATTGGATTCTAGTAGCTGCAGTGTAAAAATTTTACCTGGCCTCTTGATTGTTGGGGTGGTTTTTTATGGAAATAATCTCTGTAGAATTGAGGTGTGAGAGTATGGTGACAAGAAATTTTATCTTTTTGCATCCAAGTAGGCTAAGAGGCACAAAATACCAAGAAATAAAAGGAGAGAAAATATGAAAATAGAAAGCACTATACATTTTGTATGCTTGGTTCTTTGGATTCCACATCATGTGTGATCATTGGTAAGAGTAACATGATTTTCATGGGATGCTTTGATCATGACGACTCCCAACATTAATCCTACATTGCCACCAACATTATGCCATAAAAATAATGAAAATCCTAAAATTAATGGCACAAACTATCAATAA